CTCATGAGTAAAATGGAAGATTACACATCAATAACTCTAAATTATTTTTTTTACTTATCACAAAACATATATACAATATTTATTTCGAAAAATTTATAACGTTTTATTTATTTATTTTATTTATTTTTAAATTTTTTGTGTACAAAAAACTAGTGGTGGGGCAGCGCCCTAGCACCCCCATTGACCAGCCGCCACTGTTTGATACGCTAGTTTGATAAAAGTCACTTTACAAACTGTCAAAGTGATGTTCTAGCCTCCTGCGTCTGATTCACTGGGAATTTCATTTATTTTTAAACACCAAAATAAAGGGTTTGAGTGAGTCAACAGGCAGTCAAAGCAGTAAATTAAGAAAACATGAATGAATCGTTTTCAATTCAAACAGGAGTGGATCATCTGGCAGCAGTTTGGATTTTGCAAGGGAGGCATTTTATGAAACACTGCAGTCAGCAAAACATTGCCACAAAAGATMGCCACAGATTTTTTTTCCAACACCTGAAATTTTGTCTACTAATACGCAAAAGCTGTCTTTGKAAATGGGCTTAAAAAATGACTCCAGAACACAGAGATGTAACAGCTTATGAGTGTTGATGCCTGGAAAGAAAAACAAGCTTACAATAAAGGTTACAGGATTTGATTAGATTTTTTTTCAGTCTGCAATGCAGTTTTTTTTAAACCTTTTAATGGAAATGTATTTTTGAGTCATCATTTTACATGCTTCAGTATTGTATTGCGGCATAATATGAATAATAATTGGACTTTTGTTTTCACTTTGCAGCAGGAGAAGCCAAAGTTGATCGATCCTCTTGACTATGAGGCTGTCATCTCTGAACTGGTGGATGAGTTGAAGGAGGACCCTCTCAGAGAGCTGCTGCTTTTCCCCGACCATGATTTCACGGTAAGTGTTTTAGTGAGTTTGTGTCCGGTCATAAAGATGACACTTTTAGTTCAAATTATGATTGTGTGATATCAGAAAAAAAAATTCTAAATGTTTGTGGTTTGTACTTTCTCTTCTTATCTCTGTTTGACGTGTTTATCATCACAAAAATTTCTGTGATTGAACATCAGTAACTATTTACAACTGGGTGTGAGCATTGATCACACTAGCCATGTTTACATGTGCAAAATTCTTTGATCGGATTGAAATGTATTCAGATTAAATAATRGGAATGTATCGTTTAGATGGGCACAAGTGTTTACATGCACCGGTCTTTTATTCTGAATAGAAGCACTGACACGRGCCATTATTAACTTTCCCTAAAAAGACAAGTAATTTTAGAGACGTTACTGCACTCTGGTTGAGGTACAGGTGACATGCGGACCTTTTTCCTTTTTTTGCGTAACAGTGCCGGCTGTGTGTCTTCCTTCTTTATTGAATAAGAAAATGGGAGGAAAAGTTCTGTGCTGCTGGAAACTACAGCACTGCTGTCCCCAGGGGAGGAGCCAGGGGGTGGCCAGGGGTGGCCATGGCCACCACAGACAAATCTTTGGCCACCCCATTGGCCACCCTGCTGTACACGCCCCTTGCACAGTGAAACAACACTTAGGGGTGTAATAATGCTCCTAAACTGTTGGTGGCAGTGTTTAACAGTTTGAAACATTACCAAGGTCTATCACTGAAGAAGAGTAATGACAAGGAAGTGATGTTTTTCTTTATATTCAGGGTTGCACATAAAATTTTTGGTCTGGTTCTCATGGGAGAACCTAGGGTTATTGCTTGGTGCTCATATTTTCCTTCACTCATTTAACACATTTATCTGTAGAGGCGTCAGGGCATCTAACGTCCCCCTGTTCTGTTTTATGACTCCTATCAGCTGCAACGTCTCGGGACATCATGCCAAATAAGTCCAACAAGTTTTTTTTATTTAAATTTTTTTTACTCTACATAAATTTTGTAAACTACCTAAGTGGCCGAGGGGC